TGCTTGACTAGTCCCTCTTATTCCCACCCCTTTACACTGCACAGCAGGACCTAACCTATTGGTGACAGTGTTCCCTAGAGTGAAGCTGTGATCATGAATGGACAGAAAAAAGTATTTTGTGGTGGGTTTGCATGTGTGTATTAAAATTAGAAATTATATATTGTTATTAAGGTTTGCCGTTACCATTTCTGCTTCTCCAGTATAATAATTGCCAAAAAATATTCATTCATGAAGTTTTTATTTTTAACATTATGAAATGAGAATCTACCTCAGCAGTTCATTGGTGTAGTGCCTGCATCTGTGTGGAAGCAGCGTGGTATGAGGCTGCAGCCCTGTGTTCTAGCCACAGCAGAGAGGTGCTTCGCTTTTCTGGGGTACCTGACAGATAGGAGCTTCGTTCACAAATGCCCCTTGGCACTTCCAAGTAAAAACCAGAGGTCCTTTCATGAGCTCACATGGATTGTGTTTAAGGACTTTAATTTTTTATGGCACCATTATTTGTTCCTTTTTCTTCTTGATTTTTGAGATTCTCTCAATGGTTATTATTAGAATGCTCCTCTTGAGGGCATTCAAATGACTAAATAGATATTTATTATTTCAGATTATATTTGAGTTCTTTGAAAGTTTATTTCTGAACTGTTTTCCTTACTTAGAAGCACTGTCCCTTCAGTTGGAGACTTCTATGTCATTCTGGACTTCTATACTCCTCTGTCAGTTCATACCCGTTGTTGTGCAGAAAGTCCCCTAAGTCACAGTTGCCACTGCAGCATTTTTTGGCGGAATAGAATATTGCCTAAAATCTGCTTCTGCTTGGCTTTCTGTTCCTAGGTGCTCTCCTGGTTGTTTCTCCATGCTTTCTTCACTGTAAGCCTTATTACATCAGTTCCTGCCTCAAACATTTTCATGCATTTTCATTGCCTACAGAGCATAGAACCTAAGGCTTTTCATGATCTGCCTTTGTTTTGTGCTGTATTTGACAGTTCCCACTCTACCCTTTCGCTACATCTGAATAGGACAAGTATGTTAAATAGCTATGATGCTTGTTACTCAAGACATAAGCAAGCTCTTCTGATCATAGATGAATGGAAGAGAAATCCTGTTTGTAATTTAAATTGAATCCTTATTGTAAGTAAAGCCTAACTGAAACTTCATTTTTATTATCCTGTCCCTGCCCCCACCCACCATGCGTGTCACCCTGGGCTGCTGGCTTACTTTCTATTAATAATATTTTTAGAAATTTGATGTTTATATAATTATACTCTCTGTAGTTCTTTATACCATTTTATTGTTTTTTTTTTTTTTTACTTTTTTTCTTGATTTATCCCTTTTGTCTATTACAGAGTTGAGAAACAAGCATTTAGACAAGTATTTATATCATTTAGGCAAATAAGCTTGTCATTTGTCTCTCCTTTTTGTACTTAATATACTGCATTAGTCAGGGCTCAGAGCAACTTCCTTGTTATATAATATTCATTTGGCTGCTTTAATAGCTATTATATGCTTCCATATCAGTCTGCCACTTAGAGGGGCTTGTGTTTAGTTTTGATTTGATTTGGTTTTGAGAGAGTCTTGCTTTATAACTCAAGCTAGTCCTAAACTCACAGGAGTCTTCCTGACTCAGCCTCCTGAGTGATAGCATTATAGATATTTGCCAGCACTTTTGTATTTGCCAGTCTTTTTGCTGTAAACAATTGTGTTATATAATTGTAATCTTCGGTTTCTAGACTAAGACATGAAAATGAAGGAGGTCATGGGCATGACCTGGTACCTCCCAGCTAGGTAATAATACTTGTGTGTCATCATGCTGTAGTCTCCCTTACTATCCTGTTATTTTTACACTTGCTGGTGAAGACTGTAAATTCTCTGTGCAATAGAGTATACCAGAGTACCAAATTGTGTGTTGGCTACTTTTCTCTTGTTGCTGAGACAAAATGCCCGACACCCAAAATGAAGGAATGAAGTTTATTTGCCTTCCAGTTTGTGGAGATTTCAGTCCTTACTCAACTGGCTCCAAAGAGTGGCACATGGCAAATGGCAACCATTCAAGGAGGTGGCAAACAGCAAAAGCAACAAGAGCAAAAAGGGAGGAACATGGAGAGAAGGCTTTCTGACCCTTATATTGTATGTAGGCCACCCACCCTGGGGTGGGCGTAATACATTCATAACCCCAGCATTGGGCCATGAATCAATCACAGATTGTGGAAGCCTGCCCCATGACTAGATGAGGCTTTGGGGGGACATCCAGATTCAAGGATAACAACCCTGTGTGTGTAACTACTGATATATGATCCAAGAATGGGATCAGTTTCCAGGCTGCTGGGCTGTTGCTCTTTCTGAGGCTCCATGGTGGCTCTTTGCTGCACTATGAGATCCATTGGAAAGTGAAAGGTTTGCGCAGTATTCTTTGGATTCACTGAGGCAGTTCTCTGGTTATGCTCTGTGTGAAGATGTAAAACACTGAAGTGCAATTATAATCATTGGTTTAACTTAGTGTGAGTTTGGGTACTTCAGTGGCACTGATACTGGACATGAGGAGGAAGTTGCTTCAGTGAAAAGGGAAATCAGAACTGCCTTGGCAGCACCAATTCATAGGTGAAAGCTTTAACTGATAAAAAAGAGGAGCTAGGCTGTGGGTTTCACCATGAAGAGGAGTTAGCTGATGGACTCACGGGTCTGCTGGACAGCACGCCAGCCTGTGAACACAACAACCCGCCTACCCGTGAACACGGCAACCTGCCTGCCTACGAACACGACAACCCGCCTCATCTCTGCAGCTTTGCTGGGGTGGACCCGGGGTTGCTAAATGTCCATGGGCCACGAGTATGGCCGGATTTGGGGATCTCTTCCTCAGGTTTTAGGGGACTCTTGCTGTTTCCGTGGCTGGAGATGCCGAGGCACCCCTGCTGCCCTGGCACGCCTTACAGCCGTTGCTGTGGTGGTGGGAGTAGGGGTGAGGGAGCACCCTGCATGCTCAGGAAGGAAGGCAGTGAAAAGTGTGCACATGGTCACCATCACTGGGAAAGGTGCAAATGAGGGCCTGAGAACCCCTACTATTTCCCATGAGGGTGCCCAGCCTGTCCCACTAGTAAGATTAGTGATTCCATTAATCAAATGATGCACTTACTGACAAAAATTTGCTACTTGGGGGAGAAATGAACATAAGGGATGAGGAGATGTGTTTTAGGGTATGGGGTTTTAGGGAAAGAATGATTTTTTAATGAGACAAATTTGTTAAAATGTGTATTTCACGTATTTATGGGAGACTTTCAGAGATGGATGAGTTTGAGTTCCAGCTTTTATCACAACTTCAACAAAGGACAGTGAATTTTTAGAGCAAAGCCAAGAGAAAGGAAAAAGACTTGGGCTGTGTGGGCAGCAATCTGTGGCAAGGCACATGAGTGACCAGAAAGGCTGCTCAGCGAGGCCCAGATCTGATTGGGTTTTCTGGTGTGGTCTCCAATGATGACAGTGTGGGGTTCAGTGCTTCACCTTTGTTCCCCTTGGCAGGAGGCAGGCAGGATACCATTCTCTGTGTGATTTATGTCTTGCATTTTGGCAAACAAGGGGAGGTCAGTGAGCTTTCCCATACCTACTTCTTAAACTGCCTGAAGTCCTTCACATTTTGGGGCATCGCATTCTGGCCACCCTCTGCCTGCTTCTACACTCTTGTCGTGCTCGGTGACATTCTCAGGCTTGTTTCAGCTGCTGGGAGGAGGCCCACGGAAGGGAAGTCTGAGCCAGCAGCAGAGTGCCCGCCCTGCAGTAGCACATCCAGTCACTGTCACACACCTCATTGTCCATACCCTTTCTTTAACCAGCGAACGGACTGGGCATGTTCTCCTCTCTCAGGACCCCTGAGGGTTAGCATGGTTCTGCAGAGACAGTCCACATTGAGTAGAGTCCAGAACTCTTGATGATCATGTCTCGCTCCAGGATTTCCTTCAGTTGTGTCTGCAGCAGCCGATCGACTGTGCATACTTTCCTAGCAGCTGGTTTTCCTAAATGTGCTTTAACCATTTATGGAGTTGAGCATGGTTAGTGTATTTCATCAAGAAAGTGTAAAATTACCAAGGTGGATGGATGGCTTTAGATATCACATACCAAGATCTGTTTCTGGATTTGTAAACAATACCACATAAGTGTTGTCAAATAGTAGATGATGGCGTGGCACAGAGGAGCAGGGAATCAAGGGTCAGAAGTTTCAGTCCTGCCACACCACTGCTGTCTTCCCTTGTGATCTGGACAGATTTCTAACCCCTGTGAGCCTCCATGACCTTGTTTGTTAAATGTTAACTAAGATACTTTTTGGGGAATAATTGTAAGAGTCTAATTAGAGAGTATAGATGAAGACTCTGCATATTGATAAGTGCTATTCCAGTGTTACTTTAATAAATAGTGATTATTATATAGCAGATCATTGAAGCAAATTATTTCAGTTCAGACTTACTGCAACATTGAAAGCAGGTGTTTCACACATTTGACAGATAAAGAACATAGGATGCAAAATGTTTACCTGTATAATCCAGTCTGGTTTTGAGTTCACTATATGGGCCAAGCAGGCCTCTGACTCCTAGTGATCTTCCTGCTTGAGCCTCCCAAGTGCTGGAATTGCCAGTGTGCACCACCAAGGTCAACTGAGCCTAAGTAACTTGCCCACGGACTGACTGAGAGGTGATGGCTTCTGATTTAAATCTTTTTCTTTTTGCTCTGCCACTCTACCATTGATGATGGATAATTAGCAGAGGCTTAATAGTAACAGCAGTTTGGATTATGCTTTCAAGAAACAAAAGTAGCTTCCTAGGCCAGAAGTCAGGAGATTCAGGCTGTCACTGTGGTTTGGTCTTATTTTTAGATGTTATTTAAATGCATTTTATTAAATATTTTTAAAATACTTGACCATCTTACTGCTAAATATTGTTTAGATTTTTTTTTTTATGTGATCAGGAGTGTTTTACAGATGGCTTATTTGATATTTCATTATGGTTTGTGTTTGTTTTTAGTCATTCCTACACGGGCCAAGATTTCAGCGTACAGGGAAATGCTGGGAAGATCTCTTTAGATCAGATAGACTCGGTAAGTGTTGTATCTTCTTCTACTCAGACTTTTGTTAATGGAGGAAATATAGATTTTCTTCAGAGATTTTTTTTTTGTGATAAAATGGGAGAGAATGTTATTTTGTGGCTTCCTGATGACTTTTAAAGAAAATCTCACATCCTGTGCATACGATTTGTTTTTAACATAAGGAAACCAGACTTAATGAGAAAGTTACTTATAGGTAAATAAAACACAATTCAGTAAATTATTCCAAAGTCAATCTTTTAAGTAATAGTAGCCACATGGTGGATGTTTATATTTGAGTACCATATATATTTAGAAAAGGAGATATAGGAAGTGGTAAAGAGTAAGTTTTCCAGATTAGACTAGAATATCACAGACTGGTGACTCAAGTAGTGTCCATTCACGGATGTATTCTCTCTCAGCTGCAGGCTGGACTTCCTGAGAGCAAGCTGGCAGTAGGTTTGAGTTCTCTTGGCAGCCACTTGCCTTATAGGCGGCTGCTTTGTGTCTCTATGTGGCTACTCCACTGGGTGTGTGCATCCCTGGTATGTCTTTACCTTCTTGTAACAATACTGACCACACTTAGCTCCAACATCATGCGCTCATGTGTAACCTTAATAACCTCTTGAAAGAGGCTGTCTCCAAGTGCACTCATATTCCCTGTGTTTTAATCCTTGTTTCCTCTACCCTGCCCTATATCATTTTCCCCTTCCCGTTTGAAAAAAGTCTTTTTACTTCCTATTATCTTTTATTTTGCTCTCTATTTATATTTTTTGTTTTCTTATCTAAGCAAAACCATGAAATTTTTAAGCTTGTGTATCTGATTTATTTCACTTAACATTATGGCATCAAGGTGCATCTATTTTCCTACAGATGCCTCAAGGTTATATCATTCTTGTGGTATAGTGGCACTCCATCATGTATAACAGCTACATTTTCCTTATTCATTCATCTGTTGGTGGGCAGAGAAGGCTTCTTCAATATTTAGCTGTTATAAATTGTCATGCTAGAATGTCACTAATACATTTTGTTATACTTTTAATTTTTAGAATTTCTCTTTAATTTCTAATAAAGTTTGTACTCTATGGACAAATGAAAAATAATGTATACATAAAGTAATCTTTACTTAGAAGTTTCCAAGTTATTCATAGTAAATTAAAAATATCTGAGATCTTAATGCCAGGAAATAAGAATTATAGTAAGTTTAGAAGACCAGAATGAACAGATTTGTCTCCTATTTGAAAAATTATAATCTAGTACTTGCAGTTAAATGTGGAGTTTTCCCAAAAAAGTGTATACAGTAGGGAAAAGAAAAACTTCTATAAATATTTTAACACTAAATTTGTTGAGACTTCATAGATTAATACAAGTTGCCTTTGGTTTCTATAATTTTTTATTCAAATAAATACCCTTTTAAAGTAAAGAGCAAGGCATATTGTTAATTGGCTTTTATAATTACAAGACGCATTCAAAATGGTGGCCATTGGCTTCCAGAAACTGCTTAGTACAGCAAACTGCTGAAGCATGACTACATTTTTTTTGACGGACTCTTATATGTAGAAATAGCAGTAGGATTATCTACCTTATACAAGTGATTCAGAATTTGTTAAGATTGTGTCATCTCTTAATTTCCTCTAAATAGTTATTTCATCTGTGAAAATCCCTCCTGTTCCCCCACTACCCCTCTCTTCCTCATGATTTGTGATTATATGAATAGTTAGAAATTAATGCTATTCCAACACTAGCTAGATGCTTTCCTGCTCACAAGCATGTGCGAACTTGGTTAGGTCCTATGGAGGGGCACAGTTAAATAGTAATTGATTGATGTGGTGAATGTATATTGAGCCTATCAATTATGTTCTAGTCACCAAACTATGTATGTGGAGGTAAGTAAAGCAGACACACAGAGACTGGTGCAAGAGTGAACTGGGAAAGTCTTAGACTAGTGAATTGCAGCAGTGTCAGGATTCAGATTATGATAACATACTATAGTTTTGTAAACTTTTATTTTTAAGGCAACCAGCGCACATGATAGCTCTTTTTATTATTTCTTATAATTGTATGTGCTTCTATAGCTGTCTCAAGAAAAGGTTTTCAAACAAGAGATAGGTGAAGTAAATTTCAGTAATAATTTATAAAATTATAAATAATTTATGAAATAATATTTTATGTAACCCATACATTGAAAACACAGTCATCTTAACATATAATCAATATAAAAATACTGGTAAGAAAAAGGCCAACTACAATCACGGCAATATGTATGGTTTTATTATTTCAGTTAGACCGAGTCAGAGTTGTACAGTTCTCATGGGGTCCCCAGGGCCTTCCCGATAACCAGAAGCTATTCCTCTCGCAGCTCTCAATCACGTCCTTCCCGCCCTGCATGCGCCAGCTGCACAAGGCCTTGCGGGAGAACCACCACCTCCGGCACGGAGGCCGCATGCAGTATGGGCTCTTCCTGAAGGGCATCGGCCTGACGCTGGAGCAGGCTCTACAGTTCTGGAAGCGAGAGTTCATCAGAGGGAAGATGGATCCTGACAAGGTAATTCTGGAAAACCAGAGCACTAACTGAGATTTTAATCTGGTCTGCAAACTAAAGGCTCTGTGTATGTTTTTATTTGTATTAGAGCCTGTTAGTGGTACAGAGTGATGAGGTTCATTTTGGGAAATGTGCATGCATCTTGATCATATTCAGTCCCATTTATCCTCACTCCCTTTTTTCCCACCTCCTGTTCCACTTCCCCACTCAAAAAGTCTAAAAGGTCTGGTTTTTTTTAACACATTTCTGGGAATTCTAAAAGATAAATGTATTTGCAAGGTAGTTTAGGCAAAACAGAAGTTGCGAAGCAGTATGTGCTAAACAGAGGCTCAGAAAAGGTAACTTTTCCTTTGTTGGCATGCAACTGTAGGTGGGGATTGTATGACTGAAATTGCTTTCTGAGTTGTTTCTGTAGGACCGCATACATAGACATGTATATACATGCATAACATTTTGAAGATGAGATACTGTGAACAATTCAAGTAAAAGCCATTTAAAATATTTGTATTACATTATATAGAAGCTTTCATAGTGTGCTTTTAGTTATCAGCCACTATTTTTAAAGCTGATTGATTGCTTTTAAATCTATCCTTGGTTCTCAGATCTTTTGTTCCTACTTCTGTTTTCTTTTTAGTCATGCTAATAATATTTTATTTTGAAATATGATTTCTTGCCCCTTTTATATCACACTGTACTACAATGTAGATATTTTTGTTTCTTGACATGCTTTTTAATGTAAAAGGTTAATTATGAAACAAAGAATATTTACAAAGTACATTTTAATAACACATGCTTTTTTTTTTGGTACCGGGGACTGAACTTACAACCTCCTATATGCCAGGCAGGCACTTGTGCTGCTGAGCTATATCCCTGGCAACACATGCTTTCTTATGTCGTGTGTTTGTTTGCTAGAGTTACCATAAACAAAACACCAAAGCCCGAGGGGCTGACTCAGTAGAAATCTGAAAACTCCTGGTGAGGTTAGTTTCTCCCAAGGCTTTCCTTGGCTTACAGATTGCTGTCTTGACATAGTCTTTTCTCTGTGCATCCCCTGAGTCCCCAAGTCAAAGGCCTGACAACTAGGATGAAATAACTCCAGTTCAACGGCTGCCAGGCACATGGTTCAGAAGCGTTACATTTCCTGTAGAGGCAGTCAAGGAGGAGGAGCCACTCTCTTGTAGGAGGGCCAGGCTTTTTACTAGGAGACCTTCTGACTAGATAAGACACCCTTGCTGGGGGTGCAGTCTGCTTTACTGCCACCAGCTCCGACGCTCGTTTGATCCACACTCATGCCTAGGTTAACAGTGGAATGCTCCACCAAATGTCTGAGTGCGTCACAGCCTATTCAGGCTGACACATAGAATTATAGTTGGTAAGTATTTGTAAGTTGGAGGAAAAGGCAGTGAGTGGTTTTGGAATAGAAAGAGAAAGAAGTCAAGCTAACATTTTAGCTTGGTTTGAGCTGTAAACTCAGAATGAAGAAGAGGGAAGGAAAGTCAGTGCCACGTCTGCGTGGGCCCCTGCCGCACACTCCTGGGCTTTGTGGCCTGGACCCCTGTTCACCGACCTGCTTTCTCTGTGCATCTGGGGTGGCTGGTGTGTCCCTGGGTTCAACTTTGCAACTTTTTAAAAACCTGTTTTTTTCTTCAAGATTTTTATTTTGCAATATAAGCACTGTGCAAAATTTATGTATTATAATCAGTAATTTTTAGTTTTGTAGATATATAACATCTTATATTTTCATAAGCCTCTGTCAAATATGTTATTTTGACTAAAAGATTGTTAATTACATTTATAAATCACTGTGACATTTTGCTGTTCTGTTGTTATATAGTCTATAAATAAATGGTCATGTTTTTCTCAATTGTAAACTTATACAGTGAAATTAAGGGATACTAAATTATAATATTCTCTTTAACTTAAAAGCTATACATTTGTCAAATAACGTTCAGTTAAAAATAGTCTTAAAAGGCATTGAATATAGTTGGCTTTAGGTACTATTTATAGAGTAGAATGGTTAGGGAAGAAGTACACAAGACATTTTTATAGTACTCTAAAAGACTTAGGTGAGAAAGTATCATTGAGGTAATGTGAGAAGAGCGAATTATTAGGATGAATCATTCTAGAGACGATCAATCAGGATTTGAAGAATTGAATGGCTTTAAATAGTAGAGTGAGAAGTAAAAACACAAATATTCTCCAGAAGTTTGTGCTGAAAAAAAAAAAATAAAAATAAAAACACAAATACACCATGAACAAGAAATGATGGGAAAGTAGATAAAACATTTGTTTGCGTTTCCACTCTGTTCATTCCCTGAGCTGTTTTGTAGCTGGTTTCGGCTTTGCTTTGTCTTTGGTTGCTGTCACTTAAAAGATGATAAAAGAAAATAGGGAGATAGCATGCAAGTGGTAAGGGAACCCAGACTCTGAAGGTGGAGGGAGGAATGGAGGGGATGGAGACTTGAAAAGGTTTAAGATGTGTTGTGTACAGGTACCAAGTATCCACAGTGGGTATAATCATGGGTCACAAACATGAACTGAAATCATCATCATCATCATCATGAAGAAATTGGAGAGGAAGATCTAGAGGAAGAGGGAGGGAAGGGGAAAGGAAATAAAAAGAATCAAGGTGTGTTGCATACAGGCATCTACTCCTTCAGGTGAATGTAAGCATCATGTACAGCAAACATGAACAAATAAAATACATTTAAAAGCAATTAAATCTCTCATGTACTGAATGTAACCATGGACCGATCAGTACACTAGGGGGGGAAAAAACTCTGCTTCCAAATTTCTCTTTGAATTTACTTTATGTTTGAATACTGTTTTATTTAATTGTGTATTTTGCTAGAGAATAAGGGATGTTAGTATTAAAACACCAACCATTTGTAAGGGAACATCCTATTGCTATGAATGATCTTACAGCAAACAAATTGCTACTTCAGCCCCAAAGTATTAGGTTTATAATACAGAGTTTTCATTCTAGGCTTAACTGTGTTTAGTATGAATATTTATGATATATTAAAAGTTTAAAAGTAAAGCCCTTTTCAGTTCATCCTTGTCAGTGCTGGTTGGAAACATTTGAATATTGCAATAGGATTCTTAGAATTTGTGAACAATTCTATAAGAATTTTTTTTAAAATTTTATTTTAAAGAGGCTAAAACCAAGAAAAATGAAGCAGAGAATAAAACCAATAAAAAATAACCACTTTAAGTGATACAGGACTTCAGAATCTTATGAAACCAACAGTAGTTACCATAATGCCTTTTGTTGTCTTCAAAATAGCTGCAGATACTTTCAGACATAGTAAAAATTGAATAGAACAGGATTGACTAGGAACAGTAAAGCCAAAACAGTGAATGCAGTAAAGGACTTCAAAACAAGCCACTAGTAAATCCAAAAGGGCTCTGTAATATGTCTTGTTATCTTTCAAATAGCTGCTCCTGCCATCAGATTTAACATAATCGAACAAAACAAAAGAGAATAAAACCCACCCCAGCAAAACAATGAAAATGATACGGTTTCCCAGCTGGGATCACTTCCTGGTGAGGCCTGGATCTCTCCCTCCACGCAGTCTGGGTATGGCACTGACTCACAGAGAGAGGCTTCAGTGTGGCTGTCTCCACTCTGGAACAGCTGGTGCATGGCACATGACATTGCTTTCCAGGTGGAGATCATCTCCTGATGAGGAGCCTGGTTCTCAAAGTCTAATGGAAAGGGGCTTGGGTGTGGTTGTCCCCACTCTGGCAGCAACCGGAATATCTGAAATTTTGGATATTGTATTTCTTAGTAATGTTAAAGATTCCTGAAATAATTGCATCTATGCTTTATGCAAATATAATGTGTTATATTAATAATAAACTTTATATATGCTTTTCTTAGTTGCAATTATAATCTACATATCAGTCTACCTGAGAAAAAAACCTCACTGTGTATAAGAGATTAAATTAAACAAATCTTTATGTAAAGTATGAAAAAACATACCTCTAAAGCCTGATCTCACTTGGAACTTGGGCATTAAATCACTTCAGTCTCTAGAATTAAATTAAGAGGATAATTCATCTAATAAACTCAAAGCAATGTGTCCTCTCAGTCATATTTCCTACTGTGTTATTACTCTGAAATTTCTTCACTGTGCTGTATTGGATATTAAGCATAACATAGATCATGCACATTTTATATAGCTGGAATTCCTGACCTTGTTGGTAGCATATTTAATGTCTACTCTTATGTTGCTGTAAATGGGTCAAGGAACATTTAGCGCTGTTTAAGAAGCTTATCTTTTGTGCCAGAATCTGCTTTGCATCATGACTCAGAGCAGGCTGATGTTAAATTATCAAAGGATTAAACGTTCAGCTGATGTGGTGTAGTATTGGAAGTGTATTTATTGTCAGGATTTTTTTAAAAGATGAGTGGTTCTCCATGTGAACATCATTTGTGAGTTTATTATAAGCACAGATTCTCAGTTCTGAAAACACGACATCATTCTTACTTTTGAGATTCTCCTTTTAGTGACCAGGAACCCAGACTGTGGTTTTCTCTCTTCTACTTTAGTTTATCTGATAATTCTGTTTCCACTTCTGGCTGCTGCTGCTTCTTTGTTGCAAACAGTGAGTAATTTTCAAAGTTTACTCGCTTTAAATTTCTCTGTATACTTTCTGTTCACCAACACCATCATAAGATACCAGCCTCCTTTTCTGGAGAATTAACGTGTTTTCTACTGGCAGAAATGTGGTGGACCACCTTTCCTGGATGAGAACCCAAGTAGGTAGACTTCAAGCCCAGGGGCTCCCTTAGCTGTCATGAAGAGGAATGGAAGAGGGAGGAGCAAGGAAGGAGAAGGAAAGAGGAGGAGGAATCATTTGGGCTGCTGCTAAGCTGCCCCTGTGAAACATGATTTAGAATAGAGGTTCTGAGTTCTGCCTTTGTCACCAGAGCTTCCATAAACTCATCATTAAAGTGGAAGTATAATAACGTCTGCAGAAAGTTTGCAATGAATTAA